ATGAAGTCCGGTCGCTTTTTCGGTAAATGCTCGCTTTGTGAAAAAATGACAAATGCAAATTTTTTTAAAAAGTGCAAGTTTTTAGTTCACTAAAAAGTGGAAGTATTGCTCGAGCGGTCGTTTGTCAAAAAATGCACGTTCATTTAAGGTGAGAGTACTAATGAGCTCAAACCCAGCCCCCGGGTAAGCGTGGTACCCACGTACGGGCCCGCCAAAATTTTTTTCGGGTAAGTCGCTAAATCGGGAATCTGAGAAGCTAGAAGTCTGGAATTTTGAAGGGATGTTTCCTAACAGTCCTGATGGGCAGCCTGAAATTCTTTTAGCTAGAAGCATCTGCCGGGAAAATCACTGCCATTAGCGACAAAATCTGCGGAGAGCCATGCAAAAAACGCATCTTCGCACGGGCAGCCCATGCGTTGGCCAATTATTCATTTTTTTGAAAAAGCGAGCATTTGCCGAAAAACGACCGGGCTTCATATAAAAAACATGTACCTGGAGGTCCATGCGGCTCTATAATGAACCACCTTCATCCTAACCGTCGCCCTTTCTCTTGCATGTCGGAAGAGGCGATGCCATGCAAGCTGATGCCACGTTGAAAGTTTTGGCGGAAAAATTGCTAACTCGAGGACTAGGAAAACCAAAGCACGGCCAGTATGAGCCAAGTGTTAAGTTATAGCACAGGGATCATTCCTGTTATTAGCGACTTGCGAGTTTAATGCAGAAACGCATGGTCGCACCGGCAGGCCTGATGTCTTCCAGCCTGGGTTCATACAAATATATTTGTGTAAATGGTTCCGATTTCATTCCGTCTATATTAATTTTATATTTCTGTGGGTATTTTTCTTTTACTCACTTGATGTCCGGTACTGTCGCTATCATCTTCATCTCGATTCGCAATTTTATCGGGATTGTCATAATAAGAATAGGCTTGCATTTCCGGATAGCTGACCCCTGTACAACTGTGTCCAACATATTGCTGCTCCTGCGCGGCATCGATGACCGTTGGCCAATAATTCAGTTGTTCTCGTTGGCTATCTTCGGTGTCAGAAGTTAAATCAACGACTGTGGGCTTCATCCGTGCTGTGACTGCTGAATCAAGCAGATTTCTCTGCACCTTTGTTAACGATGACTGCGCTATCGGTGGCTTTTTCAGTATTTCCCTAAGTAAACTATTTGACGACATGAAAACTTCGCGACTCGAGCTATGAACTCTCGGGTCTTGTTTGGTTAGTTGCGGTACAGTAGGTTTCCCCGGAGCAAGACTGTCTTCTTCACTTTCCAAATAATCTCTAGACCTTGGTAGATTTTTGGCCTGATATTCCTGCAGTAAAGGCAGATACGGCTCAGGATTTTGTGCTGGCTGCATAGCTGGATGTGATGCCTGAGATTGAGCCTGATGACCAACACGATCCTGAAAAGCAAAAGCAGCTTGTCTGGGAACACTTGCTTGTGATGGGTTTCCGAAGTGTGTATAGTCGACAGCATTTTTTGAATGAACATAGCGGCTATCCAGTACATTCCATTGACTGTATGATGCAAATTGTGATCCCGCATCGCTACGTAGGCTGTTCGTGCTACTCTGAAACAAAAAGATTATTCATTATTGTGTGTTTTGCGGACCTACTTCAGTAAGGC